GCTTATCTGAAGAAGCAGGAGAGGCTTGCATTTTATCAGCTTTGCATTAACATAATATAATGACTGTGGACTCCAGGGTGCCGTTGCTCATAGACCTGAAGCACAATTTCTGTAGTCTTATTCTGACTGAACGAAGGTGTCACTCTTCTATCAAGCGTAGGAAGAGATGCCTGTGCTTTGACGGTTCACTTTGGTCATTTCATTAAAGGGATGCGATCATATTATTCTCCTGGGGGCTCTTTCTGGTAGACATTTACACATTAGCTTAAGGAGGCCTGTGGTGAGGAGATAACGGCTTTTACAAAGCTGGAATCCTTAATGTTTTGCCTCACTGCAAGAGTTCCCCAAAACACTGCGATTCTTCTGTATTTTTGAGAATATACACACTGCAGACCACAGCTGCTGGACATGCGTCATCACTTAAGTTTGGAGCATTTGACACGTCCACCTCCATCAGCTCCATTTGTATTAGACATACATTTAAGGTTGCAATATTTTATGACCTAGGCAATGTGGTGGGTAATGGTGCAGCAGCTGGATTCAGATGTCAGATTATTTATGTTTAAACTCACAAGTGCTGACCACAGGGAACATCAAGCAATGCTGACATAAATACAGCCAGTGAGCACCACTCAGCAGCCACCTGATCTAAAGTTATTGTGTTGGAGTTTGTGAAACTACACCCTGGGGTTTCAAATGCTAAAACAAATCCCTTTGCAAAGGTTTAGATGAGCCGGGTCTTTCGTGAAAACATTCAATGGTGATTTGTGGCATCCCGTATGCAGAGAATATGAATCCAATATTGAATTTCAGCATTTCGTAATTAGACCATAAATCTGCTGTCATGGGGGGAAATTATTGTCACTTCAGCCAGTTTTCAATCATGGTTGGTGAAGCAGATATTTGGCATCATATTGGGCCTGAGCGGAGATAGATGACCTGCTGTCATGCTTGCACAAACTTGAATCTGCTTGCTAGAAATATATCAACACTAGTGTTTCCTTTCAGAGTTATCTGATGAATGGACACATGAATGTTTGTTATTTGCAGAAAATGTATCTGACTCAAGATGCATTGTGCAAAGGCATTCAGTATTGTGAGTCCCCGTTGCACTTTGTTAAAAATGATACAAACAGTGCTTTTCCTTTGCTGCCATCTAGTGTTTGATTTCAATAAATCCTGCCGCTCATTCAGCCTGATAAGGCGCACTCTTATATTTTGATATTTATGACTGAATGTTTCCTACGCAGATTGTGTGGTGTAGTGGGTTAACAGGCGAAGAGAAAGATGACTCCATTCACTTGTGACAGTTTGATGGCTTTACTAGAAAGAAGTTCATGGTCGGTTTTGAAATGTTTGTTCCTTACGGGTTTAATTTAAACACAGTACTTTCACCGCAGGCATTCTTGGTTCCCGAGAATAGTGTTTTTTATACTACTTGTCCAGTTCTGCAGGACTCACCCAGCACTTAGAGGTGTTTTTGTATTTTCCTATTGTGCCATTTAGCTGTTAGCACAAGTTTGTCAGGAGTCTGCGCCGCTCCTTCGTTTGAGGAAGGACAGAGTGCAAGCAAGGGGAGGGAGGGATGGGCGGTCTTTGTTTTTGTTGAATTTTTTTTTTTTTTTTGTTTTTTTTTGGGGGGGGGGGGTCTATTCACTTCTACCATTAACAACTGATTGCACGTCCCCTGTTATCCAAGCTTCATCAAGGTCTTTCTCAGTCAGATTTTTTACTTGGAACATCAAAGGCCTTAACAACCCGGTGAAGCGCTCTAAAATATTTTCAGATCTAAACCCAGATATAGTAATTTTTTTACAAGAAACACTCCTGCAGGATACACATCATTTCAAGCTCAAGTATTCATCAGTTGGGGAGACCTTTCATTCAGCTTTTAACTCTAAAGCCAGAAGAGCAGCTATTTTAATTAGTAAGAATGTTCATTTTACAGTTTTTAAAATAATAAAGTATAAAAAATGCTAGATTTCTTATATTTGCTGGTAGTGTATTTCATACTCCCATTTTATTAGTAAACATTTATGCTCCAAATTTTAATAACCCAGATTTTTACAAATAACCTATTTAGCACTCTTCCTTTTATTGATACCCATTGTTTAATTCTCGCCGGGGACCTAAATTGTGTAATGAACCCAACATCAGACCGCTCCTCACCTCGTATCTTTACTCAGTCCTCTATGTCAAAATCAATCTCGGACTTCATGTCTCAAAATGGGTTTGTAGATAATTCTGGCTCTTAGGCCTAACAAAAAGTCATACTATCATACGCTTATGGCGATCGAATCTGACTCATCAAGTAAAATCAGAACTTTTTGAATCATGGTGGGGAAAGGTGAATCTCCCAATACGTTCAAGTACACCATGTGTTAGGCTACAGCTTGTACCGTTTAAAGTAATAAACAGAGTCCATTTTTCAAAATCTTGTTTATCTAAAACCTTTCCTTCAATTCTAGACCAATGTGACAGATGCCAAACCTCCCCTTGCCATTTAAGCCACATGTTTTTCTTCTGTCCAAGTTTGCACAAATTAGCTCCTCTAATTGCCATATTTGGAATTCCAATGACCCCTCTTAATATATCTCCCCAGGAAACAGATGTTGGCTTTCTGTTCCCTTTGAGCTAGGCACAGTATTCCACGTATTTGGAAATCTCCCACGTCTCCATCTGCATCTCTATGGGTTAATACTGTAATAATTTTATTTAATACTGCAATGCTTTTATTTAATGTAGACATAAGATTTAAGTGACCCCCCACCCTTATAAATGAAAGAAAAATCTTTTTGTTTTGTTTTTTCTAATTTATTTAATTTTTCTTTAACTTTCTGTTCTTGTGTTGGTATGATGTTTTGCATATTTCAA